AGCATACTGTAGTGTCAAGTAGCATTCTTTTCATGTAGTAGGTCAAAGTTTTGACTTTTCTAATGAGACAATCAGTCCTTCCATTTGTTTTAATTGTAAAATGGTACTAGCTTTCATATGCTAGAGAGTAATGCCCGCCACCACCTTACTTCTAAGCAATTTTCGAAAAAAGACAGCCCCACCAGCGAGTGGTTGCTGTGGCCAGCACTACCACTTACGAATGACTAAGCGTCCAGTGGGAAGTAAAGTACGATGGAGGGGTTCTGTCTTTTACTCTATACAGCTGCGAAAGGTGAAGTCGGATGACATGGATTTTTGCAGTTTGCGAGCAGAATTTCTCTTCTGGGTGAGTAGAAGATAAATCCACATTGTTTTTTGTTGTACCAAAGTTGCTAGTTCCGCTAACGATCGATAAATATTAAATATCAGTGAATGGCCAGAGTCAAAAGTCCCTCTGCATGTACTCATTGTTAAAGGCAGAAACACTCGAAAAATAGCCCCAGCAACAGGGAAGTGTTAACAAAAACTATTTGCTGGGAAGGCTTCGCGAATGAGCGAATCTTAGGGAGATTAGTTACCTAATTTTCGACCCGAACCTTCGAACTGCTGTGCGACAACATTGTTATGCCCTACTACGCTAGGCCTACCGGTGAGTGGTACTCTTTCGATAAAATACACTTAAGGAGGTGGAATGACGCAGGAGAAGAATGAGTTTGAACAACAACGACCAGCTTTGAAAAGGCAGCGAATGTAGCAAAGCACGAGAAGCTATTGCAGTTAGCAGCGAGCATCCATCGAAATGTCGACTGATGTGAAAAAATGCTATAAGTCACAGACACAATGAGTGAAATTCATCTTTTCTTTAAAACCTCGAAAATCATTTGAAAAACAAACGCACACAGTTTGTGTGACTGTGTGTGTATGTGTGTGTCTGCTCGATTGTCCGTCTGCGTTCTCGAATAATTCATTTTTAGGGCCATAAGGTTTGTTTTAGTTGCGTATAGAAGAATCACAGTAATATCACCAGCATGGGATTCACTGCACTAATTGTCCAGGCGATCCTCAATATTCTTGATATTGAAATGTATGAAGAGGCAGATACAAATTTATCAGTCGCATATCAGTACAAACACCACAGAAAATCATATGAGTCGTTCTTGCGCCTCGTTGAGTGGGCGCATTTCATTACTAATATTATTATTATTATTGTCATTATCATTGCTGTAATCGGTGTCACTATCGTTATCACTCCAGTCCTGTTCATCTCGTTCACTTTCGTCCTGGTCACTCGATGATGAGCTCGATCCGGCATCTGTGCTTATTTTCGAAAAGTTATTAAAGATTTGACATTCAGACTCACAGATGAATAGTTTTCTGAGCATACTTTTATTATAAATTGGATTTGAATCAGTCCGAAAAAATTTATGAATTGTAGCAGCCCCCGAATCTGACATATTCTGTACAGCTCAACTTGTGGGAAATGGGCGTCGAGATCACCAGAAGAATGGCCATTAGGTGATGCAGCGTTGGTCAAAACCACCAGAAAATTGCTAGCTGCGTAGCTGGAGAACAACGCAATGAAATACTTCTGATCGAGGTATAAAGTAAATACATAAGAAAGCAAATAGGTCCACAGGTCTGTAGGAAAAAAAAGTAGCCCTGTGGGAATCAAACCACCGTTGGTCTGCTGACCGGTACTATGGCTGCAGTTGGTCTTCCAAAAAACTAATTTGAACAAACAAGAGGTTTTTCAGCCTAAGTTACTTTAAATAATCATCCGGAATTACGCCTACTAAAAGTTTCAGTCTGACATCTGAATAAGAGTAAGGTTAAACCAAATTAACGAGCTTTTGTCAGGGTTTAACCGGTTCGAAATGTCAGTGATGTGTTTCGAGTATCACTGCCCAATGCCGAACTTTGTCACTTGTACACTACACCGAGAAGCCGTATCACCCAGAATTTGGCATTATAATTTTGCTAAATATCCCTATTTGGCGAACGAAAATGCGTTTGAGACTGAGGTTTTATTGTAGGGCATATTTGTTAAAAGGCTGCCGGTACCGTAACGCATTCTGAGTCGACGTTTTCTCATGGCTTCCAGCAATATCTCTCCAATATTTGGGCGGTTTCGCAAATCCGCGCCTAGTTTTTTGGCAAAAATGCCCCGTGCACCCTGAAATTTTAATACTTTCATTATCGTTAGCAGTTTTCCATAATGGTTTTTCTGGCACTTCCATCACTGAATGATCATCTATAAAACATATGGGAAATGATATTCCACGTATACACTGATGTGATTTACTGCCCGCTAGGTAATCTGCCTAATAAGGTAGAGACAACACGGCCTCACCCTGCCGTGACTCTGCAAAAAACGCCTTGGAGGATCGTCACGGCAGCCGTCCAAACAACCAGTTTTGTGTTTGTTGTAGTTGCGCAGAGATACTGAAGGCTGTGGATAAGTACGACAAAGCGTTCTCTGTTATTGTATTCGTTTAATAAATTTTTGTTAGTTGCCCAGCCCAACAGCAAAGTAAAGATCCCTAAAGTGTTGGAATTACTGGAATTATTCGTGAGCAAAAAAATAATTCAAAAAACGAACTAAAGCACTAGATTTCTTCTCGGTATATTCAGGAAAATCTTGCGGAGCACATTTTGGGCATGTTTTTGGGATGATGCGCTGCAATCTGACGCCGCTACGAATCTCCTATAAATAGATTGCAGTTTTGATCGCATTCTTGCGAAAAAACTTAGCTAGAAAATCCATAGTGAAGAAACATTGGAGAAGTATTTTAGAATCACGTTCAGTTCAGATATGTCTGAATAATTATGCATATTGGCACAGGCACACACAACTGCACACAGAAACACACGCACGCACACGCATCCATATATATATATACAAACAAATACGCAAACACACACAAACAATCATCGCCCTGTTTCTACAGTTGGTAAAGCCAGGAGTTACAGCTCCCGAGGAAGGAGCCCCTTTTTGAGAATGTTTACGGATCGAGAGGGAACCGAATCATTCGTCTTCACGTTTAAACACGACATGCTAGACCACTCTACCATCGACTCTTGTGCTCCAAACAACTGCTGGAGCGCATCTATTCTGCAAATTTGGTACCATCATACACATTCTGCATCGCCTAACTGTTGTAACCTGTGCAGCACACCCTTTCAACAATTGTGGGCTTTTCGCGCGACTTCTGCGCTAGCAACCGTTAGTGGAAACTACATCTGATCAAGCTGACCCCATCGCATGTAAAGTAATCAAACCCACGTTTGGGTTGCTTTTAAACAAACACTGAAACGTTGGCAGTCTGCTACTGCTTAGGTCACTTCTCAATTGCTTTTGCTTCTCATGAAAAGTGAGTATGGAGGATGTTTTGACTTTGCGGCTCCCAAAATTAACATTAGTAATTTTTGGTCGAAAATCCAGAGAGCTGTTCATCTCTTGATAAAAAGCAACAAAACCAGTACAGCTAGTAAATCCGGGCCTCGATCTGCAGCAGCTGTATTTTCTGGTGAGCAGTCGGCAGAAGAATTTGGTGTTGCCTGTTGTTTCTCCACTTCTGCAGGTGCATGTGGAGTATATTGCTGTTTTTCTGGCTCTTTGGATGGTGATTTCTGCGCGTTTAGCCATCGATTACGCACCTGAGAGCCATCTATTCTCGCCTGAATAGGTTAGCAGTGGTTTCATTCCCTCAACGAACCTCACCACAAAGTTAATTCTTTGCGGTACGGGGATGCAAATTAAAGCATTTGAAGCAACCCAACGGTCTCGGAAAATTTGGAAAATTTCATAAAAATTTGTGATAGTTAGTGAGTGACCGCGTACTTCAGGAGCCTTCAGTAGGTACTCGGCTGATATCGTACATTTATGTTTGCTTCGTCGTTGCGATAGCTGGAGGTACCAGAACATTTTCCGGATCTCAGAGCTTTTCCGAGAAGTTGAAAAGTATATTTACGGAAGTACATTAACTCTTTAGTACTTTAACCCTTTCG